ACACAAAAGTGACAGTGCTGCCAGCTAAAACACATACACAAACATAAAAAATATTGGAGTAACCCAAGATATAGCCAAAGATTGCAGCGCCACAGCAATAGCGAAAATTTAAATTTGCCGACTGGAATTCTTTTGGATAACCAACTTTCGGATAAACGACGCTCTACTGTACTTTTCATCCTTTTCTTCATCTCCAGTGAGCTTAAGCTTGGACATTACTCGCACCATTGCTTCATTAGCTCTCTGCATATAAGACACTTCTCAATTTACCCTTTTGAAAATCAAGAAGGGTCATTGCTTCTAATATGCCTGGACGTTCATGAGTACTTCTGGATCAAATTCTTTCCAGTTTGGATACTTTATTCTCTCATTTTTTTGAGTAGTGTATATAATGAAGATGAACTAGCCACTGTGATTAATCAATGCACCTTTAACAGTGGATGAAGTTTAAAGAATGTTTTCAACCCAGTTAATGGAACATCTTCAGGTGTGGAGAGGTAAAGATGGCCCATTAACTGGGTCAAAAATGTTAGCATTTTTTAAACTTTGCCCACTGTTTACAGATGCATTGATTAATTCAGCAGTGTATATAAATTCAAATATCATATCATATACATAAAATTTAACAATTAATTATGCCAAATGCAAAAAACTAAATATTATTTATAAACTTTACTGGCTTTATTTTTGATTTACTATGAAACAAAGCTCTTTATAAGTTAAAAAAAAATTTTTTTAAATGAACATATTAAAAGTACAGTGGAACCTCAGTTAACGAACTTAAGCCATTCTGCGATTCTTTTTCCCAATTTTTTTATAGAAATTAATGTAAATACAATTTATTTGTTCTAACCTCTGGAATTTTTGTAATTTTATTTGTAAAATGGGTTTTCTTTGATGAAAATATAGGAAAACGTAGTATCTATCATTACAGCAACAAACATGTAAACTTTATTTAATAAAATATCACTGTACATACCTTTATTTGTTGTAGTTGGTTGCAGAAAAATGAAGATGTATGGAGCTTAATACTTGGAATGGAAATTCCCCTCCATAAAAATATCAGGTAGCAGTGCATCAGGAGATTCTTTGAGTTGCGATTTCTTTTGATAAGGAACAAGAAAGTGGTCTAAAGTTGATTGTCTTACTCTTTTAATCAAAATTTTTCTAAAATGCGATATCACATTGTCGTTCACTAAATTAATGACCCTATTTGCTACAACTTTGCTAGGGCGGTGCTTCTTGATAAATTCCTGCACATCATTCCATTTTGTGCAATAGCATTAATATAGATTAGTTTACCAGTAGTTTTTATTTATGTAATTAATGATAGCTAATAATGTACTGTACCTTATATTGCAGTATTGAAATTTCTTTTTCTTCTTTGAAAGTTGAATACAGTAATACCTCGACTTACGCTACCCCGACTTACGCGAACCCGGAGTTACGCAATTTTCAAATCTTGTTGATTCGTCTTTTGTTTGAGCGCCACGCAATTCGTGATTACTCACTCCTCCCAAACTATTGTTTAGCTTACATGTTCGGACGTGTCGTGCAGAATTGACGCATAGCTACAATTTATTTTGTGTTATTTATTTCTATGTTTGTTATATCTACAGTGACTTGACAGACTCTATGTGGTGATTTCTTGTAAACGTGAACGAATCAAAAGATGAGGTAAGATTAGCGAGAATATTTATTAGCTTACATACATTCGATTTGGATTTTACACAAATTGCAAAATTATACCCGACTTACGCGGTTATCACTCGGTCCCACCTATCATGTAAGTTCGGGGTATTACTGTATATAGTAGAACTTTGATTGGTAATGAGAAAATATTTATTTAAAATGTTTTTTGTGGACAAAAAGAAAATTGCCCATAAGATCTTTTAGACTTTATGCTAGATTTTTTCAAATAAATTTTTAAAATACAGATTATTTGGCTTAAATATTAATCAAACATTTAATATCAGATAATACCAAAAATAAATATATTTTTTTTATACATAGAAAGTTTTACAATATTTATTTGAAATTAATTTTATGATATTTCCTAATGTGGTATAAGCATGTGACTGCTCTTGACTATCTGATGTGTTAGTGCTGAATAACAACTACTATTTTACATAGCACATTCATATATTACATTCATAAGATGTATTTTTTAAATTTAATTAAAATAAATCACAGTAGAGCATCGATTATCTGAAACAATTCAGGACTGGGTTGTTCGGATAACTGATAATTTATAAAAAAATATATTAAACACAAAACTGTACTGTATATAATTTGTATCACATGTTTTACAAATATATACCTTACATAATGTAATACATTAACCAAATATCTAGCTCCTTAAATAATAAATCATCCAACACCTGATGCTGAGAAAACATTTATTAAAGAAACATTAATGTTTTCGACCTAATATGATAGACCATCTTCAGATGCAAGTATTCTCAAACATATTTAACTTAATATTTAAACGTCAGAACTTTCGAATACTTTTACGTTTAAATTTAAAACCAAAATACTGGATAAAATAACAAATAAATAATAAAATAAAACAAATGTACTAAACGAACTAATACAATAACGATGTAAATAATGTAATAAAATAAAAATAACATGTAAAATAAAAATAAAATAAATACACAAAAAATGCCACTAAGTATAAGGGCAGGTGCGGGCTAAGAATTTTTGTGTTTTAGTTTTTCTTTTATGTAGAACTTCCATGCGAAAGCTAGTCTATCCACATCCCTGGCATTAATACAACCATCTTTTAATTTACTTTTATATATTTCTATTTTTTCTTTGTGCATTGCCAATGATGGAGAACGCATAGTCCTGAGGATAGTCGCTTCATTCCATTTAACCACAGAGTTCTCTGCTTGTGCCATGCAGGATTATATTGTGTTGCAGTGCCCTTTGTTAATTTTGTATTTGTACTCCTTAAGTCTGGTAGCTAAATTCCTTCTTGTGACCCCAATATAGCCCTTCTTAATTCGTAATTCCTGATTTTCAAACGGAAATTTATATACACCTGCTTTTTCTTCTTTTTTAATCATGTCTTTTCATTTCTTAAAATACTGTATATATTAGGCGCTCTTTTGAAAATAATTTTTGAGTGTTTTCTGTCCAATGCTTGTTTCATGATGTTCTTGATGTTTCAATTATAAGTGAACTTGGAGATTTTAAACTGATTTACTTGGGTTCTTATTGCATTGCCTCCTTCATACCTTTTAATTAGCCCTTCTATTGTACTCTTTTTATATCCCAAGTTTGAAACTGTTTGTTTAATTCTATTAAGTTCTTTGATTCTGTCCAGCACATTAGAGCAATGTGAATACGCTCCTCTGATGAGTGCTTGAAAGGCAGACAGTTTGTATCTGTAGGGATCGTTTAAGTTAGCCAGAATGTATAGTGGACTATGTGTTGGTTTTATGTAGATACCTGTTGTTATACCATCTCCTTTCAATCTCATAACCTGAAGCCTGGGATGCCAAGATTGTTTGCATTTGCAAAAATACATAAAGAAGGTTAAGAGTTTAGACCTGTGGTTGAGAAGTGCAGAGGACCCACATACAATCTTGAAAAATGTTTACATAAATTCATTTCAGAGGAACTAGGTAACAATGCTCTCGTTGCACAAAACCCAATGAATGTAATAAAAGAACTACAGGAATTAAGTTTATTGGATGAAGAAGTTTGGATGATTATGGATTATGGATTATGAAAATTTATACCCATCTATAAAAATAGAATCCTGCTATGAAGCATTAATGGAATTTATGCTCCACAAAAAACCGGAAATTGCTGCATTTATGAAAGATATGACAGAATTAGCCAAATTGATTTGTTATGAATCCTTCTTCAGTTTCGATAAACAAGCTTACAGACAAAAGAAAGGGGTACCTATGGGAAGCTTGATGTCAGGAATATTGTGTGAACTAGTCCTACACAACTTGGAGAAGAGCATTATCAAGGGGCTCAAGATGGATATTGTATTTTACAAAATGTATGTGGACAATATCTGCGTTATTTGGAAAAACAACAAGAGAATACAAGAGTTTGTACTTGTAATCAACAATAACAACAGAGATGGATTAAAACTTAAACTATAGCAAAAGAGTCATGAACAGATACATTTTTTGGATAGAGACATACAATTGAAAGGAGATGGTATAACAACAGGTATATACATTAAACCAACAAATAGTCCACTATACATTTGATCAACCGATGTTTCGGTTGATCGAAATTCAGATAATCGATGCTCTACTGTAATTTGTACAAAATTTGAAATTTTTGTCTTTTTCATATTAACATTTATAGGTTATAGATTATAGAGCACATGAACCTATGCTCTGACCCAGTAACTGATTCCTGCCGTGTAGCCGTACTGTTTGTGACAGCATTGCTAAACAGTACAATGCTGTTACAAGTATTTCATCTACCATGAGATGTGGCAGCTGAACAAGCAGGACTGTTCTCTGACTGAGAGATAGGATTGCACTATTTAACGATGCTGTTACAGGAGGTTATGGCACACAACCATCCTAATAGAATTGTTTTAATTATGTTATTTTGATCAGCATTGGCTTTGATTAAAAAATTGGTTTTAACTGTGTATAATAATTTATATAATTATTATGTAATAAAAATCAAGACATTACTTTGGGATTTATTTTTCTTTGGGGGTGCTGCAGTCTCACAGTTCTTATCATGAGTCTCCACTGATTATAAGTTGGATCATTTGTAAATAAATTTGAAATTAATTTACTTAACATTTGTGAACATCATTGTATTAATAGTATTTTCCTGTAATGAAAGTTTTAATGTTCTTAAATTGTCGTGGAAGGTGATGTATTATTATAAATGAAAGTAAATACAAATATAAAAAAATCAATTATAAAAACTTAATATAATTTTTAAATTATATTAAGTTTTATAATTTATAATATCATCATATTTAATAATATATATTTATATTACAGGGAAGTAGTTTGAGGCATATAAAATTGCCTCTGTATCAAGGAGTTTGTTTTCAGTCAACAGGTCAAAAAATTGTAACTTTAATTCCTGGTGATGGCATTGGTCCAGAAATCTCAGCATCTGTACAGCAGATATTTGCTGCAGCAAAGGTAATTTTGAATAAAGAAAAACTAATAAATAAATTTTAGAAAACAAATGAACTTCTAATTAATAATAATTGTAAACTCTCAAAAACAGTTTATCCTATTTGAGTCCACTATTTTTTTTTGTAATATTTTGTTTTGAATTTTTTTATTAAGTAGAATTATTTATTAGAAATTACAGAAATAAAATTTTATAGGATAT